CCCTGCTCCCCATCCTGTCCCGTGATCCCGTGTCCCTGCTCCCCATCCTGCGCCCCGTGTCCCTGCTCCCCATCCTGTCCCGTGTCCCTGCTCCCTATCCCATCCCATGCCCCGTGTTCCTGCTCCCCATCCTGTCCTGTGTCCCCGCTCCCCATCCCATGCCCCATGTCCCTGCTCCCCATCCCATGCCCCATGTCCCTGCTCCCCATCCCATCCCATGTCCCTGCTCCCCGTCCTGTCCTGTGATCCTGTGTCCCTGCTCCCCGTCCTGTCCTGTGATCCTGTGTCCCTGCTCCCCGTCCTGTCCCGTGATCCCGTGTCCCTGCTCCCCATCCCATCCCGCGCCCCATGTCCCTGCTCCCCATCCTGTCCCGTGTCCCTGCTCCCTGTTTTGTGCCCAGTGTCCCTGCTCCCCATCCCTGCCGTCCCCTCCCGTGCCCTGTGTCCCTGCTCCTGTCCCCGCCATCCCCTCCCATGTCCCTGCTCCCCGTCCCAGCTGTCCCCTCCCACATCCCCCTGCCCTTGCTCCCCATCCCCACTGCCCTTCCCGTGTCCCTGCTCCCGGTCCCCGCCGTGACGCTGCCTCTGCGCCCCACAGTACAGCAACTCGGCGGGCATCAGCTACGAGACACTGGGCCCCGAGGAGCTGCGCACGCTGCTCACCACGGTGCGTGGCCGGGACGTCCCTGCTGGGGACCCATCCGTCCGTCCTGGGCGGCCGTCCCGGTCCCGGGGCGGGTCCGGTTGGTCTCGGGGGGCGCGCGCGGCTGCTCGCCCGCCCGCCCGCTCAGCCGGCCCTTCTCTCCCCAGCAATGCGGGGTCATCTCCGAGCACACCAAGAAGATGTGCACGAGGTGAGCGCGTCCCGCCGCGGGCAAGCGCCGCCCGGCGCTCCCGGGATTCGCGTGGGAGGCGGGAAGGTGCCCGGAGCGAGCGCCGTGTCTCCCCTGGCAGGTCCCTGCGGTGTCCCCAGCACACGGATGAGCAGCGGAGGTCGGTCCGGGTTTACCTCCTCGGTCCCTCTGCGTAAGTGAGCCCACGGATGGGGTGCCCGGGACGGGCGCTGTCCCCCGCGGTGCCGACAGCCGTGCTGTGAGCAGCGATCGTGGTGCGGAGGGCATGGGGACGCTGCGGGGACATTGGGACCGCAGGGAGGGGACAGGAGCGCGGGGATCCCCCGGGGCTGGCACCGGGATGCGCAGCGGGCGGCTGGCCCGAGCCCCGATGAGCGAGCAGGGCCCGCGCGGCGGCACCGGCGCCTCTGCCACCCGGCCTGGGGCCACGCGTGACATCTGCGCGCAGGTCCCTGCCCGAGGCCGAGGGCAGCGTGGAGAACGACGGCTTCGACGTGGCCGAGAGCCAGGCCCTCATGAGCCGCCTGCAGTGGGACGGCGCCTCCGACATCTCGCCCTCCGACTCGGCCTCCTCCAAAGCCAGTGAGTGTCGGAGCGGGACGGGGACCCCGGCGCGCGGCACCCTCGTGCCGGGCCGTGGCTGTCACCGCTGTCGGCCCCCAGGACCCCTCAGAGGGGACACAACCGTGTGCGGCCAAAGTCACCACAGAGGGTCGCTCCGTGTCACTGTCACCCCTATTCATGGGCGTGGGGTTGTCCCCGAGCTCAGGGCCAGGTTTTACCGGGTGGGGGGGCTCTGCTAGGGCGCTGCCCCCCTTTTTGGGGGCCGTGCCCGAGCAGCCCRTGCCCTCCCGCGCAGGCACCAACAACTCGGAGTCGCGCAAGACCAAGAAGAAGAAGCCCCACCTGGGGCTGGTGAGCGGCGCCCCGGCGCTCGGCCCCAGCAAGAAGAAGAAGCCGAAGCCGCCGGCCCCCCACACCCCCAGCATCTACGACGACATCAACTGAGCGCCGCCGCGCCGGGGGGCCCGGGGGGCCGCGGGCGGACACACACGGACAGAGCGGCCGCGGGCCCCTGCAGGCACCCGGAGCGGAGCACGGAGGACTCGGCCACCCCGCGGGGGTGGCAGGGGGCTGCGGGGGAGAGGCTGGATGTGTCCCCCCCGCCGCATTATCCCCCCCGTCCTGCCTCCCTCCCGGTGCCTCTATTTATTCTGTGCTGTAGTTGTACGTGGGGCCTGAGCCGCGTGCCGGGGGGGGCTCGCAGATGGGGGCACCACCCCCCCGGCAAGAGCCCCCCCTTGCGCTCTGGAGTCCCCCCGCAGCCGGGGTGGGGCAGATTCCCTCGGGCCCCCACCTTGGGGCCAGTGCTCGCGGGTCAGGCTGGCTCCGGATGGGGGTGTCGGGCTGCTCCGGGGCTTCTGCATGCGGGGTCCTGGGGGGGGTCCTTTGCGCTGGGGGGGGGCTGGGGCTGCTTGGGGGGCTGGAACACGGACTGTGCCCCCCCCACACACACGGGGTGACAGGGGCAGCGCGGCCTGGGCTCGAGGCCGATTCCTCCCATCGCCKTGTCCTCGGGCTGGTGGCCCCAGGGCGGGTCTGGGTCCTTGTCCCTGTGTTTGGGCCCCCTCCTCACAGCCGGCGGCGGTGGGGGGGTCTTTGGTGGTGGCTGTTGCTCTTGCTGTTATTTGTCCCCCCTCCCCGTCCTGGCCTTGGACTGGAGGCACCTACAGGGCGGGCGGGGACCCATGGGTGGCCCCCATGCGGGGACAGGGCCCCGCTGTGCCCTGGTCTCTGTGCGGATGGTCCTGCCGCGGGGAAGCCCCTGCGTGCCCGGGGGGGGGACGGGGACCCCCCGTGTCCCCTGCCGGCGGCGGCAGCGCGGCCACCTCCCCACGCGGGGCTCGCAAATTATGGTGCTCTCGATTCTGGATTCACTTTTTGTTTTCAAACTGCTGCTAAAGGACATTGCTCGGGTGGGGGGGCCCCCGTGCCCCCCTGTGTCACCGCGCTGGCCCCAGGCACCCAAAGTGCTTTTGGGGGGGGGGGTCCATTGCCAAAAGGGGTCATTGGGGGGGGTCCCAGCCGGTGTGCGCGTAGCTGGACTCCGTGTGCGCCGGGTCCCCCCCTGCCAGCGCCGCGACCGCCCCGTCCCTACCATGGGGACCGGGCACCGGGGACGGTGCCAGCCCCGGCAGCGGGGGGGCGGCCGCGCCGGGGCCCCGCGCCCCCCGCTCTGCACTGCGTGGGCTTCAGACTTTTATTTTTGCATAACGTGATCCATCCCGTACAGGTAGTTGAGCCGGTGTAAGGTCTGTGTGTCCCCGTAGTGGGTTGTGGCTGCCCCCCGCCCCTGTAAATAAAACTGCATCTTGACTTGGTATGTGCGGCGCGCGGCTGGCGTGCGGGACGGGRGCGCGCCGCTGAGCACGGCCACCTCGTGACACGTGTGCAGCACCGGACGGGGCACCCGGGGGCCCTGTCGGTGCTGCCCTTGCTCTGAACGTGGGGCTGAGTCCAAGTGTTTTTTACCCAAAATGGGGCAGGGAAGGTGGGGGGYGAGAGCAGAAAGCGGGGGGTGCCCAGTCCTGCAGCCGCCGTTTGATGCCAATGCAGGGGTTTTCAGCACATCGCTTGTCTGGGTGCAGAGCCCCCGCTGTCTCGCAGCTCCTGGGGGGGCTCGAGGGTGCCCCCCGGCACCAAGGAGAGCTGGGCAGAGCCTCAGCTTAACCCGCACCGTTTATTTCCTTGAAAAAGTCTCTCGGGGCAGTTCCAACCGCTCTGGTGGGGGGAGCCCAAGGGGCTTTACCAGCCCCCCAGGGCTGCCGGGGGCTCCGCTGCCGCCCCCGTCCCTGCCCCGCTCCGTGGGGCCCCCGGCGCAGCAAGGGGGACAGCCCCACGTGGCCGCGTCCTCCGTCCCCGGGGCGCAGGAGCGAGCGGCGTCCGCCCGGCCGCGGGCTCCTACCGGCCGCACACGCCGAACGCCAGCAGGCTGCAGAGCACGGTGACGCCGAGCAGGGACACGGCGGCCGGCGCCGTGAAGAGCTGCCGGTAGTTGATGCGGAAGTACCAGGCGCCGGCGAGCAGCACCGCGAGCGCCGGCACGGCGAGGCGGCCGCCGGGGGCGCGGGCGGCGGGCGGCGCGGCGGCGGCACCGGGCGCCACGTGGCAGTGGATGACGCAGTTGTCGGCGATGCGGAGCGAGCGCAGCGTGCGGGCCGGGTCCCGCAGGAGCTGCCCGCGGTAGATGAGCTTCGTGCGGCTCTCCCGGCCCGGGAAGCATTTGCTTCGGGAGGAGAGGGGGCGGTCAGGGGGGGCGTCCCCCCGGGGACGGTCCCTGCCGCCGTGCCCGGCTCCGGTGGCAGCCGCCCTGCAGGAGGCTGCCGCGTCGGCAGGGCCTGGGCACGGGGATGGCACCGGCACCGCTCCGCCGCCTGACCCCAGCGCCTCCCAGCCTGGGGACAACGGAGCCCGCGGCCCTTGGACGGCGCCGGCGGGGAGAGCTGAAGGGAAACGGGCCGCGGTGCCGCTGCCCCCGTGTCCCCCCGGGGACGGCGTGCGGGGTCCCCGCGGGCCGTTACCTCGTGAGCCCCCCCACGGTGTCCTCGGGCCGCACCACGGCCACCTCCTCGGCGTCGTTGAGGAACTTGAGGCGCACCTTGATGGCGCCGTCCGGCTCGAGGCCGGCGGCGT